GCTCTAACTGGGGAGATATGAGCAAGAATCAAAAGGGTTAGAATTTGAATGTTTATCAAGATTTCCTGAGCCTCTTAGAGAGTATAGCAAAGTGCGCTGTGAAAAATGCCCCACATGAAAATGAGATGGTTGTCACAAAAGGCAATATCGAAATACCGTAATTGCACGGTGCTTACCGTATTTATCTTCTATAACTGCCTTTCTGCTAAATTATTCTCGTGGCAGCGCCGATTCCCAAACTGTTTGCAGCTCCAGAACTGATTTTACAGCTTTTGATGGTCTCAGTTTCCAAACTGTCACCTGTGGAATGGACATGGTACAAACACAGAGACAAAAAAAAAAGGAGGGGGGGAGATTTTTCAAATTACTTTAGAGCCTTTGGCTCCTGTCTCCGTAAGTTTAACTAAGGAAGTTTGTGTTTAAATGTGACTTTTAACTACTCATTTTGGAGGTAGCTAATATAGACTGGTATAAAATCTCGCCTCCCACTCCCTCTATAGATTGGGGGGGGATTACTCATTTTAATATTAATTTTAATGTTTTAGCTTTTAATGTCTGGTGTTTTAATGCTATAATGGTTTTATTCTGTTAGTTAGGGTGTTGTCAGCTGCCTAGAGATGGGCGGCATACAAATTTTAATACCTAAATAAAGAGCTATTGGAGATGTTCTCAGTGTGCTTTTTATATGTCTCAGGTACGTTCTGGGTGGAGGTGCCCTTTGTATGGAACTTCTAACTAAACAGGTAAATGCAGGGCTGGAGGGTGGCTGCCCATGGTGGAATTATCACCTGACCTTTATGTCCTGGTGGGCTTTGACATGACCACAACACGTGGTTGTTAAGGGAATTGTGCCCGAGTTTATAATCTTTTTTTTTTTTTTTGCCATGGTTGTTAAATGAATCACTGAAGTTTGGCTTGTTGGGAGCTACCTAGAAAGGTCCCAAGTGGAGATCACGTGACCCCGGGAAGCTGCAACCGTTGTGAATGCATGCTGGTTGCCAAGGGTGCAAATTTTGACCCCATGCTCAGAGGGAATGCCATGGCAGTCCTAAAGAATTGGTTGCAAGTCCCTTTTTTCAGTGCTGTTGTAACTGAATGGTTGCCAAACAAAGGTGGTATCGTAAGTCAAGGGCTGCCTGTACATAACTTTGTGGTTACCCCTGACTCTGGAGGACTTCCCTTCACCTTCTTCCTCTCTCCCCTGGACCCTCCCCTGTGGTTTTTAGGGTTGGAGCAGCGCCTATTCCACAGAATCGGTCATCATGCAGATTAATGCCACGTTAGTCAAAGGAAAAGCCAGAATACAATTTGGGGCAAATAAGGTAAGCGACATCGGTGTGTGTTCCCAGCTGTTGAAGTCTTCAGTTTGTCTGTTTCGCTGCAAACCAGTTGGCTTGAAAAGCAGGGGATCATTTGATCACCTAATGGCCAGGTTTTAAAGCAAATCCATTTAATCGAAATACGATTGGAAGTTCTTCTCCCAGATTGCATACCAGGGTTTCTCAATCTTGGCCCCTTCTAGATGTATGGGCTTCAACTCCCAGAATTCCCCAGCCAGCTGTGCATGGCCAGGAGTGAGTTAGGAAGCCACATAAATTTTCTAAATAAAATGAATAAAAAATCTCCTGGGTAAATGAAACAGTGGTGCACTTGGTACCTGTCGCTAGCTTCTTTTAAAGCCCAGCATTGTTGGGGACCCAGTCAATGTGGTGTGTAAAGCATGGTTTACATCTTAAGGTGTATTGATTGAACTGGTGCATTTGCAGTTTATCCTAAAAGCCTAGTTAGATTTTGTCTTAGCACAGCATGAATATTTCTGTATAAATCTCTGTCCACCATCTCAAACCTCTTCTTTGTGCAAGCTGATTTTGTCTCCTTAGAAGGGAAACATAAGCATTTAAAGCCATTCTCTCTCTTCCAGACCCAATACAATCTAGCGAGAGCACAGCAGTCTTATAAATCTCTAGTACAGTTACATGAGAAAAATGGTATGTATGGTATGTATGTAAAACCCATAGTTTTGTAAGTATAACATCAGAAGACCCTGGGGATGCTGCAATTGTCCTAAGAGTGAAAAATGGTCATAAGTCACTTTTTTCAGGACCGTTGTAACTTTGAATGGTCACTAAATGAATTGCTGGAAGTCGGGGACTACCTATAATTGGGCCCTGGGACAATCATTCATTATTTTCTGCTTCAGATTCAGATCCATTGTGTTGAGTACTCGGTGGAGCTGGAAATAAAAAGTGTATTTGTTTTGCTCCTAATTTGTTCCCACGTGCTACACACAACCCTATAAGCCATATACAAACATGGATCTTTTTTACACAGAGACTTCTATCTGCAGCCTTTTTATGTTTCAGAGACCCAGAAATGTGGTGGACCAGTGTCCTTCAGTGGGTTTTCAAGGCATACATCTCGGCATGCATTTTAGACTTCAGGGATACTATATGAAATTATTGTAAAGCATAAAAGTGTCTTGTTTACCATTGTTCCTGCATATTTGTCAATGTGTAATTATTTGCTTCTTCCAGGTTGGTTCACACCTCCAAAAGAAGATGGATAATACTGAGGGCCATACTTACATTTGGACCAATATCAGTGAAAGATTTTATTTCCATGCAAACTCAAGCTATAAAGGCCCCATAACAGCTCATAAATACATTGGTGGATATCCAGTATAAATCACAGCCATACTGTTCTGCTCATTGGACAAGTATTTTGAACAGAACAATACTTTCCTATATTTTCCCAATGGATTGAGCATACCTGTATTTTAGTACTGAATCCCTCACACTGGGTTCTTGGTTTACTAAAATTTCCTATCGACTTTTCTATGCACTTCAGGGTTTTTTATTTTCTCCAGAATGGACTGCAGAGGATTGCAATATATTTTATTTAAAGTCAACCAAGAGGAATAAAGTTAGTTTAATAATGTGTTGTAGAGTTTTCAGATGTTGTAAAACCAATCTCTCTTTTTCCAGGCTTAAAATTTGAGAACGTTTGTAGAATTTCTAATTTGAACGGTGATATGGGAGAAAGTTTGCAATGTGAAAGAATTAAAATGTGGTTTTTTTGTGGCTGTCTTGAGGTTAGAATTCCTTAGTTTCAGCACAGCCAGGCTGTGCCAATAAAACTTTGCAACGGGTCAATATCTACTAGGTTGCTGAGCTGTTCTGATAATTTTTGACTCTAGTTCTTCTTCTCAAGAACGAACCCTAGGTATAAAGCTTGAAAATTTATTTAAAATTCTAGAAAGCCTCTTTACAAGTTCAGTTCCATTAACGGGTTGTTGCAATCATTTGTAGATAATGAACTTAAAAAGCAATGAGCAAAAGTCAAGACACTCCTTATTTTTTTAAGAAGACCAATTTTTAAAAAAAACAAAAGCCACGGAATTCCCAGGAAAATCTTGATTCAGATTGGTGTTTTCTTTTAAATGTCACCATTGTCATGACCATGGATTTTGTTCAGAAAATAATTCTTTTCCTTTTTTAGAAGACCAATTTGGATTGGAAACTGCTGTGAGCCAGTAACAGCTTTATTATTGCCTTACCTTTAAAAAAAAAAAAGCAGGTGTTTTAATTTTTTAGAGCTGAATTTGGGGTCACTTTCTTTATTCATTGGAATTACATTAAAGGAATTAGCATTTTTCTTTCCAAGACCAAAAATGCCTCGGTTCTCCCATGTTCCACCATTTTCACCTCCAAACGTACATCTGTACTTTCTTTGATACCCAAAAGATGATCACAGATGCTGGACTTCAGTTTGAAAGACAAGATTTAAAGACTTCTGCCTGGTGGAACTTTATTTCCTATGATCTTTTGAAGACGTTCTCCAGATGATTTCCAGGATTTTGGCTTACTCGGTTGTACATATTGTTGCTATCGAAATGTCTTAGCCGCCTTAAAACAGAGGACAAATTCTATGAGTTTCCCATAGCTCATTTGAAAACCTGAGGCTAATATTTTGGATACCTAATCAAATTGTTTAATATTTCTAATGGACTAGCACAATGACAGGTGCACACACTCGACTTCTCTATTTTTATTTTATTGGGAGTTTCATTTTAAAAAAAAATTCGGAAACTTAGCAGTGTACAATAATCTGTAAACTTGCATCAAGTTTATGAATAAATGAACCATTTTAAGCATTCTGTTACTGCAATGTTTCTGGAAGAGCCATTTTTGGGGGGGACTTGAATGTGATCTTAAGTTAGTGTAAATATCAACAGTGTTAAAAAGTTGGACTGATTTTGAATTTTTAGTAATGGTAAAAGACAAAAAAGTTCCTGGTACATGATAGTAATTGGAAGCTCAACTATTTCCAGGGACTCCTTGACTTGCGAACAGAATTTCTGTTGGTAAGCAAGGTGGTTAAGTAAGTCACATCTGATTTTGCAACGTTTTGTTGTTAAGCAAAATCTATTTCACTTATTTGCTAAGTGAAACATTTGCTCCATTTTACAACCTTTCTTGCCCCAGTTGTTAAGTGAATCACTGCACTTATTAGTAACACGGTTGTTAAGTGACTCTCGCTTCCTCATTGATTTTGCTGGTCAGAAGGTCACAAAAAGGGGATCACATGACCCCAGGACATTGCAACCGTCATAAATGGGGATGCTGCAATGGTCATAACTGTGAAAAATGGTCATAAGTCAGTTTTTCAGAGCCGTTGTAACTTGGAATGGTCACTAAATGAACACTTGTAAGTCGACTATCTGCACTATTCTATGGTCTCCCGACCACAAGCTGAATTCATAGAGATAGGAAAAAATAGTATAAAGGTCGACAGACTTCCGGGTCCCCCGAGTCCCATTTTGCGCTTCGTAGTGTACGGGTAAGCAGTGCTCACCATAGAGATGCCGGAGGATAGAGCGGCTATCCTTGATCACTAGAGGCCGAGGGACGGTTTCCGGTCTCTTTCCCCGCGCGTCGATCTCCACGGCAACGGAAAGCGTCGCGTCGTCGATGACGTCAGCAGCGCGCCGGAGCTTCCGGGACCCTCCGCTGGTGCTTTTCCGGGGGGCTCGCGCGGCCTGCCGTTGTCATGGAGCCCGATCCCAAAGGCGGCTACGTGCTGAGCAGCCTCGCCGAGGTGGTGGAGCGGATCCTCGGCTTCCTGCCCACCAAGGCGCTCCTGCGGGCGGCCTGGTGAGCAGCCCGAGGGCCGCCGGGGGGCAAGGGCGCGCCCGGGCCGCGAACGGACCCGGAGGAGCGACGGGAGAGGAGCCGGCCCTCGAAGGGAGGGGGAGGGGGAGGGGGCTGGTGGTCGTAGCCACGGAGGGAAGGGGGGAGCGGGCAGGGGAAGGTGAGAAAATGGCGGTCGCAGCGGAGGCAGGCAGAAGTCCGAAGGGAGCAGCTGACATCCCTGGGAGGGGGCTTCAGAGGAGGAGGAGGGCCCCGTCGGCTGCAGTTGCCCCCCCAAATACAGTGATTGGTCAAGTTTGGCCTGGCTGTACTCGCTTTGCGACTTGGAGGCTGGACACGCACACAAACATCCATCATCTATCTATCATCTATTTACCTACCTACCTATCTTATCTATCATCAAATTTCTATCTATCCATCCACCTACCCAGTGTGGCAAACCTACCCAATACTCCTGCCTCCTCTTTTCCACACAGCAATAATTCACTGAGGTAGGTTGGACAAAGGGAGAGGGACTGGTCCAAAGAAGCCCATTGTAGAAAGCGAGGAAAAATCACTTTGTCGGACTTGGCAGATCTGTTATGATAGCCATTCTGAAAACCAAGTAGTTTTACATTTCCTGTAGAGTTGATTTCCTGGTCTGATCTGGAGGCTGACACTTGAACTGAGACCGGCCAAAGTCTCCTAGCCAGCTTCCCTGCCTAAAGAAAGACTAGGACTTAGAGTCCACTGTACTGGCTGTCGGGAAGACTTTTCTGACTGTAAGAGCCACCAAACACTCCAGCTACGTGAAGTTTAAAATAGTTGGGAATGGTGTATAGATTTGCAGCCAAAGAACGTGGATTAGCTGGAAGAGGGCTAAGACAGAGTTAAAACAGAGGCCCCCATTCCCACTCCAATTCTCAGGAGTTGTCCTAAGGACGTGATCATGTGTGGCCTTGAAGGCTCTCCACTGTGGCCTGGGAGTAATAGATTGTAAAGTGTTAATACCATTTTACAAGGCCTTGGTAAGGCCACACTTGGAATACTGCATCCAGTTTTGATCACCACGACGTAAAAAAGATGTTGAGACTCTAGAAAGAGTGCAGAGAAGAGCAACAAAGATGATTAAAGGCCTGGAGGCTAAAACATATGAAGAACGGTTGCAGGAATTGTGTATGTCTAGTTTAATGAGAAGGACGAGGGGGTGACATGATAGCAGCCTTCCAGTATCTCAGGGGCTGCCCCAAAGAAGAGGGAGTCAACTTATTCTCCAAAGCGCCTGAAGGCAGGACAAGAAGCAACGAATGGAAACTAATCAGGGAGAGAAGCAACTTGGAACTAAGGAGAAATTTCCTGACAGTTAGAACAATTAACCAGTGGAACAACCTGCCTCCAGAAGCGGTGAATGCTCCAATACTGGAAGTTTTTAAGAAGAGACTGGACAGCCATTTGTCCGAAATGGTATAGGGTTTCCTGCCTGAGCAGGGGGTTGGACTAGATGACCTCCAAGGTCCCTTCCAACTTTATTATTATTATTATTATTATTATTATTATTATTATTATTATTATTATTATTATCTCTGTTACAGTGTGTGCCAGCTGTGGCGGGAGTGTTCCCGCAGAATCCTGCGAACGCAGCAGAGCATCACCTGGGTCTCTGCCCTGGAACCAGGCCCATCCAATACCCATGTCCTGGTCCACGTGTTAGCTGAAGACATTGAGGTAAGCGGTTTGGGCAGATTGGCAGAAGCAGGTCCTTTGGCTGTTGTTGAGGTTCATTCTCTAAATCAGCATTTCTCAACCTTCGCAACATTAAGCTGTTTGGACTTCAATTCCCAGAATTCCTCAGCCAACAGGTATAAGTATCCAGGTTTACTTAGAAATTTTATAGAAATTAGGCGGGAGTTCTTACTTTCCTGGTATTCTTAAGATTGCAGCTCTGAATGAAACCTATTTGTTAAATGATCACATATTGAATATGTTTTTCTAAACAAAATAGTGATTGTTAAGAAACAATCTTGGACTGTAATTTTATCTTTTTTCAGTGGCTTAAGCCAAGAAGCAGCTAAGCTTATTCAAGTTTTATTGGGTTCTAGGAGAAGAAATATCTGTAACTCAGGCTGAACTGTGGAGTCCTTGGTGCTCTTTGAGCTTGGTTATTTTCTTCTAGACCAGGAGCCTGCAACCTTGACAACTTTAAGACTTGTGGACTTCAGCTCCCAGAATTCTGGGAGCTGAAGTCCACAAGTCTTAAAGTTGTCAAGGTTGCAGACCCCTGGTGTAGACATTTCATTACCCAATAAGTAACATCTTATGATCACCAGCAGAGCACCAGCAACAGCAGCAGAGCGCTGATGATGTTACCTAGTTGGATAATGAAATGTCTGCAAGAAAACAACCAAGCTTAGGAAGCACCAAGGGCCCCAAGTTGTATTTGGAGTTGTGCTTGTTTTTTCCTGCGCAGGAAAAGTTCCTGATGTGCATCCATCATGTTGTGCTTTGCTTTTACATTACAGAAAGTTCAAGTCCTCCCTCAGACAGTGTTGTATATAATAGCAGACGCAGAGACGTTCAGTGAAAACAGAGAGTTTTGCGTCTATGGTCTGAAGAAAGGTAGGTGGCCAGCAAGACTGTTCTTCCCTCGTCAATGAGCTGTCCTTTTAGTCATTGATTTATACATGTGGGACAAGGGAACAGTCCTCTGATTAGATGGTTTGGGTTCTGTAGATAAAATGGTAGCCTTGAATGGAGCTCTCTGCTCTGTTGTGACTTGGTTAAACAACCTTAGTGAAGTAATGTACGGCAGTAACAAAGAGTGTTGATGTGGGTCTATAGTTGATCTAAGTCACTGAACTCTTTAATATGTTAGAATTTCTTGTTATTGGCCAGTTGCAGGAGCACGAAAGTATACTGCTGGAAAAATCCTATAGAGCAGTATTTTTTTCAAACTTGGCAACTTTAAGGTATGGACTTCAACTCCCAGAATTCTGGGACTTCAATTTTCTCAGAGCTGGGGAATTCTGGGAGTTAAGTCCACACCTCTCAAAGTTGTCAAATTTGGAAAGCATTGAGGCAGGGGTTACCTTGATCCACTCCATGGATGACCTTGGGAGCGGACAGCTAGAAGAGGTTGCTGCTGCTACTTTACAAACTTTTTATAAGGTAGCCTTAAGAACTTTGAAAATAACAAGGTCTTTTTTGTCCGTGCATTTGGAAAAGTACAGTTAAATTCCCGAAGGATAGATTAGATCAGTGATGGCGAACCTTTTAGAGATCGAGTGCCCAAAGCCCGCTCTGCCCCCTGGCCCGCCCCCCTGGCCCACCCCCACCCCAGCTCTGCCCCCACTCTGCCCTGCCCCGCCTGCCCGCAAGTCCACCCACCACCTCCATGGCCCGCCGCAGATCGCCCAGGGGCCTAGCAGTGCCATGGCGGCCACACCCTCCGCCCATGCCCCGCAGCATCAACTACGAGCGATGGGACATGAGGGCGGAGTCTTGTCCCAGCTGCCCGGCTGCCATGTCCTTGGCTGCGCTGCTCTGCGCGGGCCGCGTCTGGGAGCGACTCTACTCTGGGGTGGCTGCTGGTGAGGGGGCCACGGGGAGGTAGGGCTGGGGTGACGGCACGCGTGCCCACAGAGAGGGCTCCGAGTGCTGCCTTTGGCACGTATGCCATAGGCTCGCCACCACTGGGTTAGATTATGCAAACCACCCTTCCTTGCAACAAACACAGATTGATAGGGGGGAATGTTTGCAGCTGAGTGTTGAAACAAGGGGTCCTTGTTGCTCTCTGAGCTTGGTGATTGTCTGGCAGACGTTTCATTACCCAGACTAGGTAACACCATCAGTGCAAATACAAATCTCATTTTCATTTCTTGTCACTTTGTTCCTGTTAAAAGCTTCCCCCAGTGACCCATGAATTATCCAAAAACCTATTCCTGAAAATTGTGAAGACTTACCAGTGATGGATGTGGGACTTTCAAGCAGCTCTCCTTATTCCTAGGAATCTCCATGTTTACTGCAGCAGCTAAAATACTTTGAAAAACTGGATGCTGCCTCCAAAGTTATTATTGATCCTGCAGGAACTTGGACTAACCATTTTTTGTTGTGATTACAGCACGGCGAAGATACAGTAAAGAAATCGCCGCTGCCCTGGAAAACCTGCTGCCCACGCGATGCCAGGTGCTTGGACTTGTGACACCTGGAGTTGTAGGTAAGGAGAACCACCTCAACAAAATAAGCTCCCGGAGTTTTTCCCTCGGTGTGGCTATACATCCAAACCGGTCTTTGCACCTGCTTCAAAGAGGCAGCATTCTGTAAAGTTAATTGCAAATAAACTTCGAATTTGGACTTCTGATTAGAATGGAAACCGTTCCCAGGTGCTCACAAGTCCCGGGGCCTAGCGGATCCCCAGTTCTCCCTCGGGTTTGGCTCAAATGAACTGAAAGGAGTGTAATTTTGAATGGCTTCACATTCACAGTTGCTTTGGAAGTGATGTGGTGCCAAGCAGATCAGGTTACTAAGCAATAATCAAGTGGGTGAGTACTTCCACTTCGGAAGTTGTAATCTTATTATCTCTGGGTGGTTGTTCAAATCTTCATGTTCTTCCTCTGAATTCAGAGCGACAAAAATTGTCAGGTATGCCAGTCGGGGATTCTGGCAGATACTGTGTAACCCAGGGGGTCTTCAAACTTGGCCCTTTGATGACTTGTGGACGTCAACTCCCAGAATTCCTCAGCCAGGCACGCGTGCCTGGCTGAGGAATTCTGGGAGTTGACGTCCACAAGTCATAAAAGGGCCAAGTTTGAAGACCCCTGGTGTAACCCATGTTTAAAAGGCCAGGCTCTCCAAACCCTGTTAAAAAGGTCTGTTTCAAAATACAAAAAGCAAAGTCTGCTTTTGTCCCCGTAGCTTCTTAGGACCTGAGAGGAGAAGGTACGTTAGATTTGCAACCCAAGTGTATTCTACAAACACTTGGAGAACCAGTTGAAACCTCAACAAATCCTACCGAACACTTTCAGATTGAGATCCTAAGAAGTTTTGCCTTTTCCCGCTTCCTTGTTCTCTAATTTTGTCTGGATGGCTCTTGAGATTTTTTTTTTTTTTGCATCCTGGTTACTTGAAACCCAGCGTAGCTGGAGGGCGACCCACGCCACCTGTGCTGTGCAGGTGAGCTCTGCTAACCTTAGCAAGGACATTACAAGTCACACCAGAGTTGGTTTGCTGAAGCTCTGGTGCCTGCCATCTGCAGGTAGTCCTCAACTTACAACGGTTCATTCAGTGACCGGTCAAAGTTACAGCGGCACTGAAATAAAAGCGACTTGTGTCTGTTTTTCACACTTTAGGACCACTGCAGTATCCCCATAGTCACGTGATCAAAATTTAGATGTTTGGCAACTGACTCCTATTTACAACGGATGTCAGCGTCTCAAGGTCACCTGATCCACTTTTGTGACCTCCTTACAAGCAAAGTCAACGGGGAAGTCAGATTCATTTCATAACCGTGTTACTAACTTAACAGCTGCCGTGATTCACTTAAGAACGGTGACAAGGAAAGTCGTAAAACTGTCTCGCTTAGCAGCAAAAGCTTTGAGCTCAATTGTGGTCGTAAGGGGAGGACTATCTGCAAACATACCGAAGAATAATAGGAAGGATGCTTCGGCCTTGAGTTGCCCAGGTTTTGCTTTATGCCAGTGATGGCGAACCTTTTAGAGAGCGAGTGCCACCCCACCTGCCCGCAGGGCCACTCACCGCCTCCAGGGCCCGCCGCAGATCGCCCAGGCAGCCCAGCAGCGCTCTGGCGGCCACACCCTCTGCCCGCGCCCTGCAGCATCAACTGCATGATGGGGTGTGAGGGCAGAGTCTTGTCTACGCTGCCTGGCTGCCATGTCTTTGGCTGCGCTGCTCCGCGTGGGCCACACTCGAGGGCGAGTCTCCAGGGGGGCTGCTGGTGGTGGGGTCGTGGGGGGAGGCAAGGCTGGGGCAACGGCACGTGTGCCCATAGGGAGGGCTCCAAGTGCCGCCTCTGGCAAGCGTGCCATAGGTTCCCCACCACTGCTTTATGCTCCTTGCAGAAAACGGGGAGCCTGTTTAAAAATGATGTTTGCAGTCTTGAAAAATGAGATTAACCCCTAACTGCTCTGAACGTCGCTTTTCAGTTACTCCCCAAGGCTCTGGCAGCCACCGTCCCTTAGAGGTCGAAGAGGGAGAGGCCGGCTTCGCCCTGCTCTTCCCCAAAATCGATGGGGTGAAGATTCAGACCTTCCATTTTTTTAAAGACCCGAAGAGGCAAACCATCAATGAAGAAGAGTTTGCTGAAGCAGGCAAGCCAAAGCCGGGTGGTTGTTTTGGGGCTCTTTTATAATAATAATAATAATAATAATAATAATGATAAAGTTGGAAGGGACCTCGGAGGTCATGTAGTCCAACCCCCTGCTCAGGCAGGAAACCCTATACCATTTCGGACAAATGGCTGTCCAGTCTCTTCTTAAAGACTTCCAGTGTTGGAGCATTCACCGCTTCTGGAGGCAGGTTGTTCCACTGGTTAATTGTTCTAACGGTCAGGAAGTTTCTCCTTAGTTCTAGGTTGCTTCGAACTCTTGCTATTTTTATTTTTATTTTTATTTATTATTATTATTATTATTATTATTATTATTATTATTATTATTATTATTATTATTATTATTATTATTATTATTATTATTATTATTATTATTTTTAAAGGCTGTCACAGTGTGGGATTTTAATTCCCAGTAGCAGTTCATGAGATTGTAAAAGCTGCTACCGCTGACCCTCCTAAGAGGAACATGGGCTTAACGGGTGCGTGGTGGGAATTGCTTCAAAGATCTTTTTCATGCTGTGTTGGAACGTTGCGATTTGTGATGTGATGTTTGGCTGAAAAGAACTTAGTGATTCTTTGAAGCGAATCGTATTTTCTAAGCCATCCTCCCATTCTTTCCATACTAATTTGATCTAGGGGTGAAGGCACCAAGCTAGAAACTGGCAAACTCCTCCTTCTCATCCTGCCTTAGGATGCAAGGCAATGGGTGGCTTTCGGCCAGTCACCAGGAGGCCGTGAGTTCTAATCCCACTTTAGGCATGAAAACCAGCTGGGTGACTTTAGGCCAATCACTGGGAGGGAGGGAGGGAGTTCTAGTCTTGCCTTAAGCATAAAAGCCGACTGGGTGACTTTGGACTGGTCAGGCTCTTTGAGCCCAACTCCTTTCACTGGGTTATTGTGGGGAAAGAGGAGGAGGAAGGTGTATTAGATATGTTTGTTGCCTTGAGTTCTTTATAAAAATAAATAATAAAGGCAAGGTACAAATAATATTTTTACACCCTTAACCACCAGACCCGACTAAGCCAGAGAGCAAAGATTCCCCCTCCAGAACAATAAACTTAAGCCAATTGTTTTGTTGTCCAACTTTGTGCATCTCCCTGCTAAAGCATAACTAGTCCCCGTAGTATTAAACAGGCTTTTTATAACGGGGAGGGAATGTAGAGTCCTTTTCTTTTTCTTCTAGCCATATAAGCAAGCAAGTCAGTGTGTTGTTTGCTGCTTTCCTTGCTGGGCTGCCTGTATTCTGACATGCAAAAGGTTAAAACTGCTGGTTAAGTTTGTCCAATGCGAAACGTATGATTAGAACCTTACCAAAACAAAAACAAAAAAAACCCCTCCAGGATTGCATACCAAACAGGTCAGAAATTTGCCAGAGGGCTGTTATGTTATTCTCTTGTGGGAATCTCTTCTTTTGATACGTGCCCGGCTGCTCTATCCCTTTAGGGAAAGTAGGTCAGAAAACGTAAACAGATGCAGCCCGTAAACTAAATGGCGGGTGACGTTTGGCATCTTGTCATTATTATCAGCAGAAAGCCAGAGATGAATATTTCTGTCCTCTCTCCTTTTTACTCCCATCAGGCCTTAAGAACAACCCCGATCTCAGAGCCGTGCTTCTCTTTGGCTACAACACCTGGAAGTCGGGATCGACACGGTTTCTCCGCCAAATTGTCAATCGCTTGAACGAAAAAAGCATCATCTTAGCGGGCGGATATGTAGAGAGCATCACATCCCTGACTTCAGAGAAGTGGGTATCGGCCGGGAGGTCCTCCGGGGCCTTTTTTGTATAGAGTTTATTAGTTTTTATAGGGTTAGGGATGAGGTGGGGTTGGGATTAGGGTTGGGATTTCGGTTAGGGTTAGGGTTGGGGTTGGGGTTTTTCCAAATAACATTTTCAATATTTAGCAAACAGCATAATGTCTGGGTACATGTATTTAACTAACAATAATATATATAGTTAATTATCATAAACAATATGTTAATTCATCACTCAATAGCCTTCTTTTTGCTAATATATATTCAAAATTACATATCACATTCCTTTCTCTCTGACTCGTTTTTCTAGCCGTTGATAGAAATTATCCCATGTTCTAAAGTACACTGAGTCTTCTTTAATCTTTAAAGTCAATCTATCTCTGCACACTCTAGAACAGTGATGGCGAACCTTTTAGAGACCGAGTGCCCAAACCGCAACCCCAAACCCACTTATTTATTGCAAAATGCCAGGGCCACATCAGCATTGTGGTTCCCTCAGGGAGGGTGGGGTGTGTGGCCCACTGGGTGGGCGTGGCCAGGGTGGTTACAGCAGACTGGGTGGATGTGGCCAGGTAGGCATGGCCACCTCGATGCTCTAACACCTCTACTCGAGCTTGCTAGCCGGCCATTTTGCCTGCTTTGTGCTGGACAGAGCTGCTACTCCGGGCAGCGGCAGCGGCCTAATGGACCTGCGCGAGCTGCTAGTGGCGGCAGTGCGTGTGCCCACAGAGAGGGCTCTGAGTGCCGCCTCTGGCACGCGTGCCATAGGTTCGCCACCACTGCTCTAGAATTTTCTTAATTAGTACTTCTTCAGTTGGTAAATTTTCAATTTTTCCAATATTGGGCAAATACAATTCTTGCTGCCGTTAATATGTGTAGTATTAGATATCTGCAATCTTTCTCATAATTAATGAAAAAAGCGTCATCTTAGCGGGCGGATACGTAGAGAGCATCACATCCCTGACTTCAGAGAAGTGGGTATCGGCCGGGGGGTCCTCTGGGGCCTTGCTTTGATAGGCTTCGGTTGTTACAGGATCCTCTTAGAGATCCCAGATGAGCCCAAAGTTTCTGTTGCAAAGCGAAACGGTCATTAAGGGAGTTTTGCCCCATTTTGCGACCTTTCTTGCCACAGTTGTTAAGTGAATCGCTGCAATTGTTAAGTTAGTAACCTGGTTGTTAAGTGAATCTGCTTGTCAGAAGGTTGCAAAAGGGGATCACGTGATCCCGGGACACTGCGACCGTCATAAATAGGAACCCGTTGCCAAGTATCTGAACTTTGATTGTGCGACCACGGGGATGCTGCAAGAGTCATAAGTGTGGAAATTGGTCATAAGTCACTTATGTACCTTCAAACAGTCACTAAATGAACAGATGTAAGTCAAGGACTCTATGCTTCCGTGAGGTTGGCTTTTATCTGTTTCTGAAAATCTCAGCTTCTCTGTTGTTTAGAGGCTGATAAAGTTGTTTTAAATTAAGAAAAGTATGTTGGATCAGGCCTTCCAGCTCATCATTATGGCCGGTTGCAGCCTTCCACAATCATGTGACTGCAATTTGCAATGTTTTTTGCCGGTTTCCAGCTTTTTTTTGTCTAGTTTCTGGCCAACCCCCCCCCCCATAAGAATACATTGATTTGCTTAATGGCCAACGGCATACGCTGGACAGCGATCACCACGTTCGCTTAACAACTGCCGCAAAAAAAGTCATAAAATGGGGTCCAGTCACACGAGTGCCTTAACGACTGTTATGACTTAACAAGGGAAAATCCAGGCTCCGTGACGGATGTAAATCGAGGACTACTTGTATATCTTCCATGTTTTTATTTCCTTTTCATGGGATGCCTGAAAATTTTTTCCTGATTGGGAGTCGGTCACTTTCATTCGCGTCCAGCCTTAAGGGAAGAAGAGGGATTTCTGTAACTGCTCCTACAGCCTGCCACTTTTAAAACGCTTCGTGTTCTGCCAAAGTTACCTCGTTGGCTTGTCTAAAATTAGAAGTGCTAATGATGTGTGTGTTACATCCCTTTCGTCATCTTTGTTTCCCCCCTGTTTGCACTTCTCTCCTTCTCTCCTTATTTGAGTTATTTCCTTTATGGAAGTTAGACGACACTCTTGCTCCTGAACTCACTAGCCCAGTGGTTCTCAACCTGTGGGTCGGGACCCCATTTGGGGTCGATCGACCATTTCATGGGGGTCGCCAAGCAAGGCTGTCTGCCATTTTTTTTGTCCGCCATTTTTTCCCCCTTTTCCGGCGGGTGCCTTACCTCCCTTGGGCTGGGCCAGCTGGTGGTCGGCCTGCTCCGTCTCTGCCGCTTGCCAGCTACGCCTCGG